CGCTCCTTTCTCTCCCAATCCTCTCAACTGCTCCACAGCACAATTTTAGAAAGTAAAATAACAATAATAAATAAATAAATTTAAATAAGTAAATAAATAAAATAGCAGCAGTAAGTCCTTATCTGTCAATAATTACTTTATATATAAATGGATTAAACTTTCCAATCAAAAGACATAGGGTGGTCAAGTGGATTAAAAAACAACCCAACTATATGCTGTCTACAATAGACTCACTTTAGAATCACAGACACACAAACGCTGAAATTGAAAAGATAGAAAAATATATTCCATGCAAATGATAATTAAAAGAGAGCAGGAATAGCCATATCTACATCAGACAAAATGTACTTTAACTCAAAAAATGTCAAAAGATAAAAAAGGATATTATGTAATAAAAAATGCTCAATTCACCAAGAAGATATAACAATTATAAATATTTATACATCCAACATCAGAGCATCCAAATATAAGAAGCTGACACTGACAGACCTAAAGGAAGAAGTAACAGTGAGGAATTTCAGTATCTCACTTCCAATAATGGATGGAACATCCAGACAAAAGTTCAATAAGAAAATAGAGAACTTGAACACTACTACAAACCAATAGACCTAACAGACATATATAGAACATTCCAAAGAGTAGAATACACATTTCTCTCAAGCACACATGGATCTTTATCCAGAAGAGATCACATCTTGGTTTACAAAACAAGTCTTAACAAATTTAAGATTGAAATCATACAAAGTATCTTTTCTAACTGCAATGGAATAAAACTAGAAAATGAATAGCAGACAGAAAGCTAAAATATTCACAGATATGTAAAAAATAAGTAATACAGTTTTGAAAACCAAAGAAGAAACCAAAAAGGAAATTAGAAAATTTCGTGAAACAAACAAAAAATAAAAATGTAACATAGCAAAACTTATTGAATACTGCAAAAGCAGTTCTAAGAGGGAAGTTTATAATGGTAAACCCCTACATTTAAAAAAAGAGAAATATCTCAAATAAACAATCTTACTTTAAACCCCAAATAACTAGAAAAGCAGAAAGAAAAAGAAAACTAACCTCAAAGTTAACAGATGGAAGAAAATAATAAAAATTAGAGGAGAAATAAATGAAATATCATGTTCTCACTTATTGCTGGGATATATATATAAATAAATAAATAAATACATA